GTACGCAAAATACAATATTCAACTCTCGTTTCTGTGTTCATTTTTTTTTTTTTTTTTTTCTAATATAGAACGAGGAGGGGAAAAAATAAGTCGAAAATGAAGATTAAATTTGTTTGCAAGATGCTTTGTTTTTTTTTTTGGCAGATTACTTTTCATAGTTGCTGCTTTAGAAGGGAAAGAATATAGACGTATTTCGTCTATTTGCTTTAATCGTTAATATAACGTATATATTCTTATTTAACTATCTAGCAGAACTATAATGTTGCATGCATACTCATTAACTTTAGTTAAAAATTCAATTTCCTGGGACAGTGTAAAAACAAACGTGCAAGATTAGTTTCAATTATGGAAAATCCAGCACGTGCAAATAATAAATTATTAAATCTGTGTCTCTATTCACTTGTATAAATTTGTAAGATTTACACGAGGCTAAGGATTTGTACAATCGTGCACAAAGTGAATTTTCAAGAAATATTTTCTAAAGAGCTGAAGCTTCAAAAATATTATAGTTCATTTTCCTCTACAACCGGCGATTTTTGACTCGAGTTCAAATAATTGAATTCATCAGGCAAGAGATCACTTGACTCTGGCTATTGATTGAAATTTCAGTTGAAATAAGTGGTGCTCGTGTAAACGGGGCTGACGTATGTAAGTTTCGTCCGTTACACAGTTTATGAGTAAATACTCGTAAATAAATAAATTACGCACTCGTTTCCTAAATTAAGAAAACTAACATTGAATGCTCTTGTGCAAATCACATTCTAACATTATGCCTTGAGTTACTTTCATTCGCCAGCGTGCCAACTTCTATCGCTCGAGGTTGTTTTGATTCATAAATAATTAAAAACCCAACGATATGTAGTAATATACAGCTTGTTAACTCATTAACAAGCGCCAGACGAAACGCATTTTCTGTTTCCGTTTCCCCTTATCGTTATATCGCCATAGATATGAATTACACAGATATTTATCAACACTCGTACACAAATATTTATAAATAAATTCAACCATCCAGTGGAAACAATGACGTATACCTATCACATGCGTTTGCATTATTTTCCATAGATATTCATGCATAATTTATGGGCGCTGAAATCTGATGGCACGTGTTCGACTTTCTAAGCAGGATCTCCTACATCTCGATATCCAAACATTCTACTGTTTGAATGTTGTTCTCTTATCCAAACAGAATATTCACTAACGATGCATGTCTTTTCTTATGTCAAACTATCTTATATGCATTAATTATTTATAACTGCGAGAAGAACTGGCTAAAATGTAAACTACGAGACTTTATTAAAAAGCAATGTGGGACTAATATGAGAGATTTAATTCGAGACACGAGGAATGAGTTGACAGTTCATCTATGGTGTTAATAATTAATTTACGTAATACAGTGTATCTTAAAAATATTATTAATTCGTTGTGCATTGCTTAGTTTTCAAATTGTTAATAATTTTAGCGAGCACCCGAAGGATTAAACAAACATTTCTTGTTCGAATACGAGAGGCTCTCTATTGTCCATAATCTTTTTTTCTCTAATTCTGCTTACAGAATATATAATCTACAGACAATATTTATAATAACTTGTGCAAAAATATCGTATTGTTATAGAACACTTGTTATAGAAGAAATTTGATATGAAACATAACATTTTGAAGTTTCATTAACATTGTAACGATAAATGTAGTAATACATATAAAATAATTATATTATTAAATTTGCAAATTTACACGTGTGTGCAATATATTAAAATTAAATATAATAAATTAATATAATAATTAATATTATATTATGTCCTTATTTTAGATATTTCGTAATTTCCTGATACATACATATCCTCATCCATATATAGAGTGAATCAATAAGAACTAACATCTAAAATAACTCATAACATATTGATTATATCAAAGAATGTTTCAAATGAATTATGTTGCATTTTGTGTAATTTATTGGCTGAATATAGTTTGATTTTTTTAATATCTTACACTTCTTTAGACACCAAAGTCAGTTTGAATTTTTCCAAACTGTACTTCCCTTTTAGTGCTATCTCTTAATAGATTAGTTAAAAAGACGAATTTAATAACAACAGGCTATCCTTAAATATCTATCTCTAACATAACGAATTCCACAACAAACGAGGTTCTGAAACGAATTAATTTTTGTCATAAAACGACCCCTGTATCTTCATAAAATGTGAAACATGGCTGCATTTGAATGTTACAACGAAGGTTAATAAATGGAGCAAACAAAACGTGAAGCAAACGTAGGAAAGAAAATTCTAAATTCTAAATATAAAGAAGCGGAGCGTATTGTTTCATGATTTCTCGCTGGGTGCAATGGGTATATCCAGTAAAGTGGCGTGAAGCTATTATGTCACAACTCGTAGTTGCAGTGGCAAGGTAGAGGCAGGCCGTGAACCTAAGTGCAGCCGGCACGTTGCATGATCGCACGTGACGTGTTCTGCGAGCGCGGTTCATTCTGCTTATGTTTCTTCGATTGTTATTTCATACCTCTGTTTCGTTCCTCGCGATTTCAAAAATCAATTGCCAAAATTCACGTTTAAATGGATTCACGTAAAAGAAATACACAAGAACGTTTTATATAATTAACGTTAATGTAAACGCTACGAATATCCTTCGATGCTGTGAATGTATCTTTCATTGACAAAAGATATTCATCGATTCGGTTTCATTCGAATATCTTACAAAGAAAATATTGATTTAATATTGATGAACAAGCAAGCAACATCAAAGTAAAAGTCTGGAAATCGGAAAACATTGTACTCGATTTAATAATAATTGTCTAAATTCTTTGGATTTTCGATTTTCTTTCAATTTTCTAGTTGTTCTCGCTCGATAGGTACATCTAAATTATAACCGAGAAAATTCTTTAATTGAAAATCGAAAAGAATATATCGTTTCGTCGCAGAGGCATCGAATGAATTCCTTTCTTTCACTTTTCCAACTTCGTCTATATAATTTGTCTTAATATCAAACAACACGAATAGAAACTGATGTATGTAGTACAACCAGACGTGAACGAGTCTGTACAATACATATTTCATGACACGCGTTTACGAATAATTTTAGTCTAAGTACCAACGAATCGTCCACCAAGTTGTATCTCTTCCTCTCGCAATAATATCGAGCGCGACGATTAAGCGTTCAACGCGGCTGAATACGAAGCAGGGGAAGCTTGATGCCAGCCGAGGCAGACCGCAAAGTCTTCGACCCTTAAATCCAATTAACAGTCCACCCTCCGGTTTCGAACGTGATAAATAATCGTGAGCCGCGCCCTCGTGCGATTAAACGCCGCCAGAATCTGTTTCGTATTTGTTTCGTAGCACGGAACACGCCGAGCTTCGTTTCAATTTCACGCGACGGATCCTCGTTCCGCTCCGTTGTTTCGCGATGGAAGCTTCCTTCGTCCATCGAGAGTCTCACGGGGTTAATAACAGAAGGTTAGGAAAAAGGGAGAAGTTCGGATGAATGTCGTCGGAGAAGATGTGTGTGTAGATATTTATATTCTCCTGTCTTTGAAAAGTTTGGAAGATTTCCTCCCCCCTTTCGTTCGAAGATTCGATGCGCAAAGTTTCCTCGCAATGGAAACCATTATCCTTCAAACAATTCATGCTCATTTCTTTGCGAAGATTGGCAAAAAAATAATTTCCACTAAGTTTCCCTCCAACTTTCGGTTCACTAGTTCACCCCTAATTGCAGGCAAGAGCGCCGTTGGCCGTGTGGCACACGTGCACGCAATTAGTCTAACATCAGGCAGATGTATCACTCAAACTGGATGGAAACTTGCGGAAGTAGCTAACTGAGTAATAAAACAATTTATCGTTACGTTACAATATCTCGTAATATCTTCTTTTGAAATTCTATCTTCATTCTATGATCTTTAATTAAATTTCTACATTTACAAAAGAATCAAACACAAAATAAAGAACAGAAGTTAATAGATCGATCATTTTCATGTATAAATATTCTTCCTTATTCTTGCAATCATATGTTACAATAATTCTCCTTTGAAACAATTATGTTCTTACACCTTGTCAGATTTAACTTTTTTGAATGTACATACAGACAATCTTGTAATCGATAATAAAATAATTAGATTCCTTGTTAGAACATCAAAGATAATAACGTATTGCAATATGTTGAATGCATATTGAAAGATGCTTACGTTTAAAAACGAATCTATTCTTAATTTTTTATATCATTCAGTATTAAACCTTCCTATAATTTCTGACATAATTTTTCTCACATCTTTATCCGTTTTCTTTATCTTTATTCTTCCTTCCTTCGTTCGCAATCTGATATTTTAACCACCTGCACAATTCATGAAATGTTAATTCATAAATTAATGAAAAATAATTCTCACAGCTGAATTACCAATGTGAATACCTTCGTTTAAAAATAACTGACTGTTTTGAAAGAGAATGCAACATTATTCATAATATCCATTGAATGTAGATGTCTCAGAATATACAGTGGGTGTAGAATGTATTCGTAAAAAATGTTTGGTAAAAAATAGATACTTCAGATTCTTATAACTTTGTGAGCAAATAGTCGTAAAACAAATTTCAAGGGATTGTCGTAAATGGAAGATTTCAGTCTTCAAGATGGTAAATTTCATTACAAAGAATATTTTCTCAGTATCCATAGAAAGATTTGAATTTAAAAAATATTTGAGAAAAAATATATTTAGTTTCCTTCATCAAAACGAGCTAAGAATATTTGTGGAGGAAACAAATTCAATACACTCGTGCGCAAATAATTTCTATTAATAATCCCTAGCTTTGTTCATTTTCAACTATTAATATCGTAGAATTTGAAACTCTTTTTTCCCTGGATTGATTATTTCTTTGCTCATTTTTTTTCTTTTTTTTTTAGTCTTTTCTTTTTAGAGTTGTAATTATACTAATTATAGTATCATTGTCGACAAATTAAAGAACAAAAATCCTAGATTTTAAAGCCTCTGTTTCAATGTTAACATCACGCAACAAACTGAGAAGAATCAGTAATGTGGAGGTAAATTGAAACCTGTGCAGATGGATCTTTAGAAAAACCAACAGTATTGCTAAAATTAATATATATGAAAATAACTTCATTTCATGAAGAAACAGTATTCTTTATTGTTCTCACGATTTTCAATATTCTATAATTCTTTCTTTGAAAAAAATATATACCTTTACACTTTCATCTTACCATCCATAGTCTGTTACATTCATAAAACAATAAAACACAACAAATCTCATGTTCAATAATACGCATATAAAATCTCGTGTAAAATGGAGAAGCAATTAGGTTAATAAATAAATTACTTTATAGATTTATTATCAGGAAAGGGTAAAATAAGAAATAATGAGGGGATTTACGAGTGAACGAAATGGCGAAACGGGCGAATGAAATGACGTTCGAATTACGCTCTCGTTTTATGCTTTCGCGATTTCTCCGAACGTTTGTTCGATAGTTTGTCCGACGCACAACTGCAGTATTCTCCACTGCTGTTGTACGAATCCTCCTCGCTACAATCGCAGTCCGAACACGTGCACGATGTTGATGAATAGTCTAAAACAATCACAATTTTCCTATCAGCCTTAAAGAAAGAAAGAAAAAAAGTGAGCTACAAACGTACAATTCTCTATCATGTTCCCTGTTGAAAATTTCCTGTAACGACACAGTTACAAAATATAATCACTGAGATACTTTTACTTCGCACCTCGTGAATTTATTTACCTCATATTTTCTGAATTTATTTCCTCGGAAATGCAAAAATTATTCTACTCAAAAAAAAGTAAAAATTTTATACATTTCCATTTTTTATATATATATATATATGTAGTATTTATATACGAGGGATAAACTTCGGAAAATAATACCTTTCTTAACAATTGACAAATTGTTAATAAAATAAAACAATTATACAAAAATCACGATTTACTCTTCTATTCCTTATTTTATTCTATATTCTATTATATTCTTCTTCTTCTATTATTCTATAATTCTACTTCTGTATTTTCTATGTTTAACCTGCTTTCCTTAAGTAATAATTAGAACAACACTGCTAATTTTCATATTTTACCTAGAAATATCTGATTCCTAATAATCGAACACAAAGCGGAACAAAAATTACAGTACAAAACTGGCAGTTATCGTTCGATAATCGAGATCTCACCTTCGTAACGTTTAGAATCTTTTTTCTTCGAATCTTTTTGCTTGCGATTGTATCGATTGCATGACGATTTAGTGGATCGTTGATTATGCTTCTTCGACTTTCCTTTGCCAGCTCGTCTTTTCGATACCTTTGGATCGTGCCAACAACACTTCTCGTGTTGCTCGCAGTTTGTGCAAATGCAACAATCGAGATTGAAAGCGCAGGTGTCTGACGATGAGACAGACGAGTCGAAACTGGAAGTCGAGGTTAGTGTGCTATCGGAATGATGGTCATCACTCTGACAACAACAAGCACTTGGCCTCGAGTTTTTCGCGTTTTTCTTCGCAGCTGATTTCCTGCAACAACTGTTCCACAATTTATCACTTTTCATCGCTTGGTTCAGTTCGTTAAATGATCAACACTCCGTAGACAATGTTAAAATAATCCACGAACGCAGATGAGTTTCTATTCTTTCTAAGAAATTGAATCTTTCAGAAAATTTGTTTCGAACGTGACAGAAATTTCACTGAGAAGAGTTCAAGAGAAGAAGATTTTTAAAAAAGTCTTAGAACAGTTAGAGAAATCAGGCACGTAAGCGCCGCTTTTTCCTTTAATCAATTTTAAATAGTATGTATATTGTTTAATATATTACATTATTTAAGTGTAATTCATGTTATGTTACAACAATTTCGGGTATTCAATTCTATCTGAATAGTTTTATATTTTCTAGCAGATAAAATAGAAATTAAATCAAATCGAGAATTCCAGAATTAAACAATAAAATACCAAGCAATTAACCAATATAAATACTTTTTTACAGCAATGTAAATTTCAATGCCTCGTGATACTAGCTATCACACTAAATTAAAGAAGAACACTGTCCTCATAGTGTGAACTTCATTATTCACATTGATAAGAGTATTAATTAATTAAATAAAAGATTTGCTAGAAAAGGAAATTTTGCTTGTTGATTTGTGTGAACAGTTTTCAAAGTTTCTATATTTTGAACGTCGCTAGGACGATAACTGTCATTCTTCGCATAAACAGATTCTCCGTTGGTAGGTTTTTTTATCTTATGGATAAAAAATTTGAAGGGCAGTTGGAATGTGAGAATGTCACAAAATTTACTATTGAAAGATTTAATCAAAAATCTTTGTCAAATGTTTCAAAAATTGAATATGAAAAATATTTAACAGTTATTCACAGACAAAAGTTATCACGTATTATTTTTAACATAAATATATAAATATTTAGGAATTATTCGCATAACAATTATAACAGAAACAATCAATATACAATCAGATATATGTATCTATTAAATTTTAAATATTTAAAGCAGAAGAAGATTTTCAAATATTTCATGGATTTGAATTAATTTTAATTCAGATAATTAATTAATTTTAACTTTAATCAAGATTAGCTTCTAAAATATCGACAAGGTTTCAGTTCTCACATCTACAGTATAATAAATTCTTGTTCTAATTATAATTGTTACATTAAAAAAACATGTAAATTTCGTGATTTCTTTTGTTCTGATCTTTTTGTTGTTGAACAACATTAACTAATAAATGAATTAGCGTGTGTAAGTGAGTGAGTATAAGCTGCTTATTAGATTATATTTTAAAATAGCTCTAGCAAACTCTGATCTCATTTATTAAATAATATATTTATTCGAAGGCAATTATAAAACGAAAAGAATAAGAATGTTTAGATGTTTAATTATTTAATATTTCTCACCTCATTTTATTTCTACTGCAGTTGTACCACCAGTAGTATTATTGATAAATTCAACGTTGTTTAATGTCGTTATATTTATTATTGTTGTCTAGTATCTTAATCCTATTAATACTACTGTAATATCATTGTAACAATATTATCATAATATTATATAATATTAATATATCGAGATTAATTAGATATTAATGAATATTGAACATCGATGTTTATTAAACGACGCTACTTCTACCCGTCCCGACACTCGAATGATTTCCGTTGCGAGCTGTTTTGATTCTTGTACAATTTACAATACATGTTCTCACCTTTCTGATGTGCCTCGTATTTCTCCTACAAATTTAACAGCACTGTATTGAAATTTCAAATATAGTAGGGCTCCTCCCATCCGAATTAATCGTAAGACA